GTGGATACAGGTCCTCTTGTCTGGTTGTAGTTTACACCTCAACACTTGCCAGGACACAATCTCCGAGAACAAACACCGTCAGCTGCTCCACTGGTCTCCAGTCAGTCAGACAGACAGGAGGAGCTGCTCTGACTGGTTCAAGAGAAGGTGGTCTGACTGGTTCAGGAGGAGGTGGTCTGACTGGTTCAGGAGGAGGTGGTCTGACTGGATCAGGAGGAGGTGGTCTGACTGGTTCAGGAGGAGGTGGTCTGACTGGTTCAAGAGGAGGTGGTCTGACTGGATCAGGAGGAGGTGGTCTGACTGGTTCAGGAGGAGGTGGTCTGACTGGTTCAGGAGGAGGTGGTCTGACTGGTTCAGGAGGAGGTGCAGTCATGTATCTGTGGACGAGTATAAACAAAGGAGCGTTAAACTGCCTCTGATTCGGTAGGCGTACCGGATCTCGGTTGTCATGGTTACAACAATAAACACGCAGAATGTACCGAGAGGAGGCGCACCTACCTCCATCGCCATGGTTACTATAATAAATGGTCATGGCTTGGTTAGGTTGAGGAAAAGGTTGTGGTTTGGGTTAAAATAAGTTACTGGCTCAACATTAAACGATCTCTGTTGTCATGGTTACAATAATAGAAACAACATAAACAGGTGGTTTCACACAGGAATCGAACACACCGCTCTCTTGCGCCACTTTCATCCATCAAGCACCACCTCCTCCTGACATGGACTTTGTCTCTTTATACTACATCACCGACACTTTTCATCATCACTACGACCACTAGATGTTGCCTAGCAACAAAACCTAACTATGATGTCACAACAACCTTCTGCTCAGACGCAGTCTCATGACGCGACAAGTGTAAATGAGCCGTAAGACAAAAGTGAAAACGTAAGCAGGTTTCGTGTTGTGCGATTGATTCATCAATTGACAAACAAAAGAAGAATTGAAAACAGATTCAGTCGCTGTCGTCCTCGTGCTGCCTTCTCATTGGCTGAGTCACCCACAGCTGGCTGCTGGTCATCCAGTGTGCGATCCTGAATCCGCCGTTCTGCCTTCCCGCTCATGGGAGTCAGCAACCGCCAGACTGAACAGAAGGAGAGAGAGAATCAAACACTGACAACGAGGCGTCCAACGAGGGAAACAGACAGAGAGAGAGAGATGAACAAGGAGAGGAAGAACTAGGAAACGAGGGAGGGAGAGTTAGGACAGAGGAAAGGAAACATGTTGACACAGACAGAGAGGAAGAAAAAAAGTAGAAGACAAAGAAACAAAGGGAGACGGAAATAAACCACTTCTGTGGAGACGGAGAGTAAAACGGTGGAGAGACGGAGCCCGGCTGGAGACAAGGGCGAGACGCTCCCAGTCATATTTAATCATCAAATATTAATGCAGCAAAGATGGAATACAGGAAATTAATATTCTCCATTAACAAAGAAGAAGAAGAAGAAGAAGCGTGAGTGGGGGGGGCGTAACGGCCTCACAAGACAAACGGCCTCCGTGCAGCGGTTTACGCTCTGTTCTCCGCTGACTGGTAAAGATCACTGACCACAGGCTCCAGCTCAGGACAGACCGCGTCCACCATCATCACCTCAACACTCATCCTCACCTGCCTCCTCACCTGCCTCCTCACCTGCCTCCTCACCTGTGTCCTCACCTGCCTCCTCACCTGCCTCCTCACCTGCCTCCTCACCTGTGTCCTCACCTGCCTCCTCACCTGCCTCCTCACCTGCCTCCTCACCTGCTTGTGTTAAAGTTAAAACAATGCTCGTTTTGTCGGTCTCATTAGAGGCTGAATGTAAACACTAGGAGCTCAGTGGTGTGTGTTCTCCTGATGGAGATACGAGGAGTGTCTGACAGCTAGCAGAATTTTCTCTTGGTAACATCTGGACAGATGTCAACACAGTAACAGTTCAGTGTTGTGTATAATCCAACTTTCACACTCATACAGTAGTTTAATCTCCTTTAAAGAGTTCTACAACCTGCAGAGTGTTGGTTAGATCCTTCATCTCTGTGTATCTGCTCTGACTCGTGGGGGCGGCCATCTTGGAATAGTGTGCAACTGTTCCAGAGTTTTCAGTTGTTCCTGTTTCGCTGAGATGATGCGAACACGATGTGACGCGACAACCTTAGATGAAGAGCGGCGACAAAGCCTTATGGGAGATGTAGTCGCTGAACGCTAACACGCCTTTATCTTGTTAAAGTGACGACGCGTTGGAGTGATGCGCTTTAGGCTCCGGATCCATTTAACAGTGACAGTTTCTTTTCTTCCTCGATCCCTCGCTCCCTCCCCGCCGCTCTCTCTCTCCTCCCCTCGCTCCACCCTCGTGGTGAGTGATCCTAACAAGGCGGATTATATATTTTCAGACTGAGAGCGATCCAGATATGATCAAGTATTTATGTAAGCTGCACTCTCGCTGCTCAGATACATACAGAGCCCTCCACTCAACAGCTGTTTCATAACCAGCAGTCCTGATGTGTGTGTGTGTGTGTGTGTGTGTGTGTGTG